ATTCAATTATCGTTTAACTTTCTTCCGGGACTTACAAGGGTAATGACATCCTTGTAGGCAGCGTTTGTCCCGCTCGTGATTCTCCCGTGTGGCAATCATCCTTGAACTGTGCAGTGCATTTGGGCCACGTTTGTGTAAAGAAATCTTGCAACAAAATGGGCACACAGACACACATCCCATCAAAAATTCAGTTTTCTAGTATTTGAGCGTTGACTAACATTCTCACTGAATACGTGTAGCAAGATGATGAAGCAGGGGAAGCTGTCTATGGAGATCTAGTGAAATCATGTGGGCTCTGAAATCAGACAGATGGTGGTTCTAATCCCAATTGTGTTACTTAGCAGGTTCCTGGGCCCTTCTGAGCCTCCTTGAATTTAAAATGAGGGGATACCCGCCTCATAGACTCGCTATAGGTTTAAACGAACACACGCAGAACAATGAGCAGAGGTCTTGGCACAAGACAGAGTCTCAACAAGAGTAATTTCCTTCCCCTCCTCCATCCCCACTTTGGATTCGACTTGCCAAACTTGATAGTGTTCCCTGACTTCTGTACCCCAATTTATAGTTCCTTATTTCCTGATTATCTTGATTTGCTCATTTACTTATTCAAAAGTTTTTATCAAATGCCTATTATATGCAAGTTACTGGGTAACCATTGAGGATGCAATGAGGAACTAAATAAAAACAAATTCCTTTTCACATCCTGGTGAGAGAGTTAGACATTAATCATACAAGTGGGTGGGTAGTTAGAAAGGGAGATAAATGCTACGAAGGATAGGGACACATATCTAGCTTTAGAGTAGGGACACGAGGGTGAGTCGAGACCAGAAGTGAGAGTGTCTATGGCAGGTGGGGTTGGTGCTGGGAGAGTGGACAGTGATGGTGAAGGGCGTGTGGTAGAGGACAGCTTTCACAAAAGGGCTATGCAAGGGATGTGTGCAGGGTGGAAACTCTGTGTGTCTGAAAACCTGAAAGACCAATGTGGCTGGCACACCGATGGTGAGGGGGAGAAGAGACAGAGACCAGGAGTTTAAGCAGAAGTCATTCCACAGACCCCGCAGGGCCGTGCGGTCCACCTGGATTAGGATGTCCTCATCCCAAGGACAATCCAGAAGTCACAGAAGAATTTTCAATACGGGGGTAGTGTGAAATGATCAGATTTTGCGCTGCAGAAAGATCATTCTAGATCTGTACTGTCCAATAACGGTAGCTACTGGCTACTCATGGCTCTTGAACACTTGAAATGTTGTTGGTCTTAGTTGGGATTTACTGCAAATGTAAAATATGCACTGGGTTTCATAGACTTAGTATGAAAACAAGAATGTAAAATGTCTCATTCATTTTAACAGATTGATTCCATGTTGGAATGATAATATTTGGGGTGAAATAAAATGTAATTAAAATCAATTTTACCTGTTTCTTGTTACCTTTTGAAAATGGAGCTACTTGAAAATTTAAAATGACAAAACAGAGCTGCTAGATGCAGTGTGAACGAAGGGATACAGAGAAGGTGAAGTAGATCTGGAGGTTGTTTTAGAGTAAGGCAGCTGGGTCATGGTCATGGGAATAACAGGAGTTGGGTGGATTTGAGGTAAAATCGGTAGGACTAAGTCCTGTAGCAGGTGCATCTGGATGAATGCTGGGCACCACATGTTAACATAAAGACCGCCGGAAAAGGACCGGCCTCGACAAGAAATAATTATGAGCTGAGCTGTGGATATGTTGAGTGGATATGTTCTGAGACAGCCAAGTAGACAGATGTCTCACCTAGGCTTGGATGAGATGTCTGGGCAGGAGACTTAAATTTGAGAGGAACTGGCATGTGGATGGGCATGACTGAGGTTCCTTAGGAAGCAAGCAGCCAGTGAGGAGTGACCTGGGACCTAGATTTGGGATAGAGGGTAGGGAAGGATAAGTTTGAAAAGGAGAGTTGAAGGGGAAAACTAGGTGTGTGCGGTCCTGGAAACAAAGGGAGAGAATGTCTTAAGAAGGAAGGAGCGATCAGCAATGCTATCTGCTAGGACAGGTTAGGCAACGTGAAGAATAAAAAATATCGGGAGTTAGCAACATGGCGGCCATCGATGATCTTTGCAAGTGCTGTTTGAAATGATAGGGGCGGAAGCCAGGCTGCAGAGGAGCGCAGACTGGGCAAGAGGTGAAGAAATGGGGACAGTGAATATAAAGAGCTCTTTTCAGAATTTGGACTATGAAGGGGGAGAGAGGGAGAGAGACAGAGAGAAGCTTGAGGGAGATGAGTTTTTGTTTGTTTTTTAAATAACCAGAAGAGACTTGAACAGGTGTAAATATTGGTAGGAGTGGTCTGGTTGGGGTGGAGTGGCAGAAAGTACAAGAGGGAGAGGACACAGGGAGGGACAATGTTCCCTACTGGACCGGGCTGGGGGTAGGGTAGAGGTGGGGGGGTGGACCGACCACACTGGGACGAGGGATCCCCCTTCTACTGTGGCAGGAGGGAGGAGGATGGGTGTGGATGGAGGTTCAGAAGTGGGAAGTTGAGGGGATTTCTTCAGACGGCTTTAGTGTGCTCTGTGAAGTAAGAAGTAAAGTCATCCCTGAGAGGATATGAGGGGGTGAAGATGGGTGGTCAATGGCGGGAGGAGCGTGCTGCAAGTGTAACAGCTGGTGGGGAGTGCAGGGGCCTTAGCGAGAGAAATGGAATAAAAATGCCTGTTGTCCTCTAAGAAAACAGGCAGGAGGGCACTTTTAGGTTTGGGATTGAGTGTTATACAGGAGAAACAGAAACAGGAGGAGAAGAGACAGTGCTGGCTCTAGAATTTCTATTTGGTAGAGCAATCTGATTCAGGGCTGGGAGGGCGTGAAGCATTTTGTGTAGGATTTTACATGCTATTATAGTGAGGAAACACAAATTGTTCATACTGAAGAACAGGGAAGCCTTATGGAGACTGGGTAGGTCTTAGGAGGTAAAGCCCTGATCTTCAGGCCCGTGTTTGGCAACACCAAATGAAGGTGTTATGAAGATTGTAAACAAGAGGGGCTGTGCACTCTCTCAGATCCCCGAGGCCTCCTGCTGGCGCCCCAACCACCCCCGCCCCCCAAACCCAGCAGCTGGTGTGAATGTTCCGACTATCTGGTGGCCACAGTCAGCTGGGTATTTTCCCTATAAAGAGAGGGAAGGAGCTCTTTCCTGGTGAACCAGAAGTTTTGGGGCCAAGTACAACTCTCCATATGGTGCTGAGAGAATGGGAGCCCCGGGGGCTGCTGACCCCTCTGCCTGTGAACGCCAGCTTGCCCCAAACGTTTGCCTCAAGCTGCACTGAATGAGCAAGGAAGAGAAGGAAGGAGATGACGAATGGATTGGGGAAAGAGGAAGGAAATCAGTGACTCTGAGCAAGATGCAAGAGGCCCGAGTTAGTCATTGAGAGCTTGGTCGACTGTAAGTAATGACCAAGTCCAGGGAGTGGCTGAGATAGCGCAGAGGGAATCTTCTGGGCGGAGGAGGTAAAGGGACAGAGAGGCTTTGGGAACAGTGAAGCCCCCTGGGCTGCTGGAAGATCTTGGGAAGAAGGATTCTATGGGCTGGTGTCAAAGCCTTCAGCAAATGGGAGGAAGGGACTAGGGAGTCAGCAGATGGGGACAGACATAGGAGGCCAGAAGTCAAATGGCATGCCAGGAGGCCATGGCCCCAGAGAAACTGGTTTTCTTACAAAGGATTGGGGAAGTAACAGATTCTCAAGGAATAGGGTTCCTGGGTCTGATGATGCCCTTTGCGGAAAACCATGAGACACCATGGAACGATAGATTTAATCCCATCATATGAACTGGGATTTAGCACAAATCATTTTAGTGACCTATGTGGGCTGGAACTGTTACATGGTAAATAATGGACACACGGTTGGATCTTTACCAGTGACTGGAAGCTCAAAGGAACCATAGCCAAAGGAAGGGCAGATAGGCACTGACAGGACCTATCTGAGCAGACTGATGACGTGGCCAGGACTATCTCAGGTGACAGGAAGTGATGGCGACAGGCAGCCGATGAGGAAGAGTGGCACTTGACGTGGGGAGGACGGAAGGGCTTGGCAAATTTTTTTTTTAGTGACTCAAATTTAATTTTGTTAACGTTGGCTTTTTAAAATGTCCTTGAAAATTTTTGTCTGCAGAGACATTTCAGAAGTTTGCTTTGGCTTTATGATTAATATCTAAATTACTAAATTCACAAAGTTAAAAACCTTGTCTTTCCTTAAGGTTTTAGGTCTGACCAGCTATTTATAAATCTACCAAAATTTATAGATCACTTTAAAAGAGACTTTGGCTTATGTTTGTCCTATTTACAAACGTAGCTAATCTTTAAAATAGTTCAAACTAATGAAAATAAATAAATAAATAAAATAGCTCAAGCTAGACTTATAAATGTAATATACTTCATGTCCTCTTTAAATGTTTCCATTGTTTGACTTAACAAAACTTCCCTGAGTTCTCAAATAATTCTTATAAAACTAATATGCTTATAAATATGGTGAGCTTTAACCTTTCTTGTTTCCATATATAACAAGTATTCAATCCATGTTTCCACAAATAAAAATTTCAACTTAAAAATCACAAGTATAAATGAAGTATACATTTTATTTTGTTTTATTGAGGTGTAATTGGCATTAACATGATATTAGTTTCATGTGTACAACACAGCAATTCCACATTTGTATGCATTGCAAAATGGTCACACAATACGTCCAGTTACCATGGAAAATCACCTTACAAAGTTAATATATTATTGACTATATTCCCCATGCTGTACATTACATCCTCATGGCTTATTTCTTTCATAGCTGGAAGTTTGTACTTTTTAATCCATTTCAATCCTGCCTCCAATCCTCCCTCCCCTCTGGCAGCCACCAATCTGTTCTCTCTGAGTCTGGATTTTGTTTTGTTTGTTTGTTTTGCTTTTTGGATTCCACATATAAGTGAAATCATGGGGTATTTGTCTTTCTCTGCCCGACTTACTTCACTTAGCATAATATCATTAAGGTCCATCCATGTTGTCACAAATGGCAAGATTTCATTCCTTTTAATGGCTGAGTAGTATGTCATTATACATATAGATGCCACACCTTCTTTATCCATTCACCCATTGAAGGACACTTAGATAGTTTCCATGACTTGAATGATACTGCAATGAACATAGGGATGTAAATATTTTTTTGAATTAGTGTTTTCATTTTCTTTGGACAGGTACCCAGTAGCAGAATTGCTAGAACCTGTGGTATTTCTATTTTTAGTTTTTTGAGGAACCTCCATACTGTTTTCCACAGTGGCCCCACTAACTTATAATCCCACTGACAATACATGAGGGCTCCCTTTCTCCACATCCTCGCCAACATTTGTTATTTCTTGTCTCTTAGATAATAGTCATTCTGACAGGTGTGCGGTGATATCTCATTGTAGTTTTGAATCTGTTATACCTTAGAACAGAACCTAAGAAGGTGTGGTCACATAGCTTACCTCCGTAGGATTGAGTCATATCATGACTTTCCTTTTTCCATCCACATAGAAGTCAGCACCCTCCACCCAGGCTGCCACACAACACGGTCAGATTTAGCAATTATTTGATTTCAGTATATTTTCCAAGGAGTTCCAAAGAAGTTGGAACTTGATAAAAAATCCCGCCTTCTTTTCATACCCTTCCTGCCCAATGAGACTATACAACCCTTACTGAGAGCAAAGTAATACCAGTTGTTCACTCATGGTTTTCTTTAACTATAGGTTTGGAAATTAAGCTCTACATTTCTTTTTTTTTTTTTAAACAGATTTTTTTTTTTTAAGATTATTTATTTATTTATTTATTTGAGAGAGAGAGAATGAGAGAGAGCACATGAGAGGGGGGAGGGTCAGAGGGAGAAGCAGACTCCC